TGATTCACTCTTGTGCTGTTTTCCTTGCTTCAGTGTAAGGGAAAAAATGTATACTGCAAATACATGAGCATGTCATGAGCATGTGTGTATATGTGTGTATACGTGATGGGAAACTGAGATTAAAAATACTGTCTTGGGCACAGAGGCCCTTGTGGGATGGCTTTAGCAGCAGTCATAATGGGTTATGCATACTCTTCATATAGACATTACCATCTCCTTAAATACGTTATACCTAAAATGTAATTGGGTCCAGCTGAATAAGTGCCAGGTTGTAGTTTACTTTAGAGATATAATAAATAGCTACCACTGATCCAGTGTAACAGTGTGATCTGAAGCAGTTAGTCCAGTTTAAATTCATTAATGCTCTGACCTAGATGGCCCAGGCTAGCCTAATATCATCAGATCTCAGAAGCTAAGCAGGGCTGGCCCTGGGTAGTACTTGGATGGGAGACCACCAAGAAAGTCCAGGGTCACTACGCAAAGACAGGCAATGGCTAACCATATCTGAACGTCCCTTGACTTGAATACCCTACGGGGTCACCCAAGTTGGCTGCAGTTTGGCAGCACTTTCCACCACCACCACCAAATCTATTAACAATGGATTTAGGCTGGATTAGCGCTGCCTAGGGTCACACGGATAGTAACTTAGTGTGTTTTATGTAACACAGATACAGTTGCTAGGTACAGGATGTCAAAAGGGATAGTAAAATGGGGGTTAGTGTGGAAAGCAAGTGATGCTTAAGCCTTTTTACTAACACCATTATGGAATCTGTCTTGATCTTGTTATAAACAAAGGAAGTTTCAGCAGGATTCAGAATGTATTCTTTTATGCAATTGCCATTCATTTCAATTGAGTATGACCCCTGCACTACTGTTTATTTGTTTTTATAGCATTTAATTTGCAGCTGTAACTGAGTTGTCAAAATAAGTGAATAAGAGAGCTTGATGTCATGGGAATTGAGTCTCTTGAGTGGCATTGGATGTGACAGCTCAGCGAACCTGTGGAACTTTCCTACACAAAATCCCTTTGAATAAGCAACATCAGACTGATGTGGAAATGGTTGTGCATTGGACTGGCTGGGCCTGTTCATCTCATCTGAAACCACTTTGAAATAGTGACTTGCTTCACAGTTAGTCTATGGCAGATACGAGATTTGAAGCCAGGCCTCCACAGCCTTTTCTCTTTTTATGTTGTGGCCTGGTAGTTTGTGCTCAGTCCTGGATTTCTCTCCGTAGTTCAAACTCAGGGGTGCATGACAGTATTCCTTCTCTTAAGCAGGGAATAAATTGACCACCCCAGTTTTAGGTGGATTCTTTCTTTTTTATATGAAGTTGCAGAAAAGCAAGGACAGAGGGGTCTAGTTGGTTGGGAGTATATGTTTTATTGTGGGTCTTTGGGGAGAGGCAGCGGAAAGAGAATAAAGAGCATTGGCTTAAGAACTTGTATAACTTAGAATCAAAAGTATGCCTCATAGTTCCATTACAAGAATATTCACTAGCATATTCTGGGCAACTTGGGCCTACAACAGATGTTTAGATCTGATCATGGGAGCAGAGTTTGGGCATAAAAGGGATTTCTTCAGCATGCTGAGGCAAGCCTGATGACATAGCATTGTAAAATGCTGTTTTCACACAGCCTCTTTTTAAGGGACACTGCTCTTCCTGCTTACAGTGTATATTATTCAGATTTATTTATGTTTGATAAAGCTGTCAATTATTTTCTGCTATGCCTTACAGATTTTTGAGCCCAGACATTTGTGCCTGCTAACACTGAGCTGAGAGCAAAAGTTACAAAATGTCTCATATCTTTGCCAAAACAATGCTAATTCACTGAATGTCATAAATGGAGCAAGAAAGCCAAAGAGAGATTATTGGGATTGAGTCTTTGACACTTATTACAGGTACAATCTCCTAAAAAAATTCTCCTGTCCAAGGCACTCTAAACTTAATGAGAGTTGTGGAAGAGCAGCTTTCATTTAGTTCAATGGCACTTGTGCAAGAGAACCTAGAGGATTGTACCCCAGCATATAATAGTTATAACTATGTGGGATGTTCTTATTTTAATTCTCTTAAAACTTGCCTTCTCACAAAATGACTGGCACTGTCCTGACATATGAAGGATATATCCATGTACATGGTCCTTTTCTTTCTTACTCAAAACTATTTTGATTGTCCAGTTTATATGAAAAGACTTTTAGTTTTACTACCAGAAGTTTGATTCCCCCCTTCTTCCCAACTTTAAAAGGGGGGCAGAGACCTATTTATGCTGGATATCAGGCAGAATTGACTGCATGATTGCAAAAACTTTACATAGCGGGGGAAAAGGGCTCTTATAAAGAAATTCCCAGCCTGTGGTTGTAAGATGCAAATAATCTTTGACTTACCCATTGACCTTTCCCATTTATTTTGCAGTCCTCACAAAAGACTGAAATGATAGAAAATTTTAAAAAAATGTTAACACACATGAAAAAATAAAATGTACCCAAATAAATTATAATGATGTGCTGCACTTCTTGAAATTTTCTTATCAGTTACTACAGTTTCATTTAATTAATGGTATGTGCATGGTGTGTTAACATGGCCTGCTAAAGATGTACCTCTAGCTAAAAGCTAACTTGATGGCCAGCATGTGTCTTTGGAATTTCATCATATTGTCACCACCGTTCTATGAAACTGGTTGCATTTGGCTAACTATTGCATTCTGGATATTCGAAAACTTGCTTTTGTAAATAATCCTCTGAACACACATCTATCTATTGTATAGCCTAATATGCATATGCATATGTAGGCACTTTACTTGGTGTGAGTTGTTCACTCACATATTTGGCCCTATTAATTTTTAGTATGCCTATGCTGATAGAAGTGGGTAACACTTTAATTGTACAGTTCCAATTTTTTTTAAAAAAAGCAATTAAAATAGTTAAAGACACAATCCATAGTTCAGAAAAGCTTGTTCTCCAAAATAAAGCAGACTCTGTAGAGGATAATAAAATAAGGTCTAAAATGCCACCAAGTACATTTGGCGGTATGGGGAGGGGGGTTCTTTCCAAAGGAATTCTCAAGGTACAACTTGTTCATGTTTTCTGTATAATACCACTTTGAATGCTGGCCTTATAGGGTAAGAGTATTAAGCAACAAAGAATCATACTTTTAAACTTCACAGCATTTCATTAATGGCACTTGTTCTTAAAGTTCATCAATGCACACATTGTCTATAGTTTGGGGAGTG